ATATAATATTTGCAATATAATTTACATTATAATAAATTATATGTTACTTTTATTATTTTATAAATAATAAAATATATTATGTTGTAAAATATCATATTATAATAAACTTAATATAACATGAAAATTTAATACATTACATTATAATTAATATAATATATTAAATATAAGTTTAATGATATTAATTATATAATCATTTTATAGTCAGCTAATATGATTAGCATATATATTAGTAGTTAATACATTATAATAAATTATATGTTACTTTTATTATTTTATAAATAATAAAATATATTATGTTGTAAAATATCATATTATAATAAACTTAATATAACATGAAAATTTAATACATTACATTATAATTAATATAATATATATATAATATTTGCAATATAATTTACATTATAATAAATTATATGTTACTTTTATTATTTTATAAATAATAAAATATATTATGTTGTAAAATATCATATTATAATAAACTTAATATAACATGAAAATTTAATACATTACATTATAATTAATATAATATATTAAATATAAGTTTAATGATATTAATTATATAATCATTTTATAGTCAGCTAATATGATTAGCATATATATTAGTAGTTAATATATGAACGTTCCAAAAAATTATCCCACTCAGCTCAAATTGTTCCACTATGAGAGTTGGGTTAAATTTCAGCTTGGGGGCAATTTTCTTTCCATATGAGTGGGATAATTTTATCCCATATGGGGTAATTATGCCACTAGTTCCCATAAAACCATTGACACCAAAAGTTATTGTCACAATCCCATTATCCTAACTAATAACATTAAAAAGCATTGTCCTAAAATTTATCCCAATTATCTCAATATTACACGAACCAATAGCTCCTCCTTAGAGAACTCACTAGTCGTGTAGTGCCAATGTAGACCAATTGGCCGGCCATATTAGAGAATCATAACCTTGGTTTCTGGTTGATGGATCCTTGGCAGGATAAGATTATATACCGTTATATTTGGGAAACGTATGGTTTCACATGGGCATCCTGCAATGTGCACGCTACAGCCTAACATTGTTTTGTTGGTAAATGACAAATCAATTTTTTAGTTTTCACCCAACATTTTTTTTCCCAAAAAAGGAAGTTCTTACATATAAGGAAAAGAAAACGGACAAATAAAATTATTGTTATTGGTTTTCTTTTTCCACACATGAACTTTATTAGGTAAAAATAAAACAAACTTTCAAACCTGCACAAAAAGATACAATCGTCTTTCAAATAACCCCACTAAACTTCAGAAATGTTACTTAGCCCACTTCAATTTTATCAGATAACCTTTCTAACTAATGTTGGAAATTTACAACCTTTAAAGGTTATAACATGCAGATAAATCCGAAAAATAAACAATTATTCCGAAATAAATAATATAAGTTAGAAAATATTAGGCTTGACGGGAAGCAGTCGTGTAATCACTACCCTAGAA